CAACTGTAACTACCACGACGCTGTGGAACACCAAGGTAGTTCATTGAAAACTACAAGCTGCAAAGGCTGTCAGGACTTGTAGTTTTCCCATTCACAGATTCACACATTTTTTAAATTCTAACAGCTAGCAGGGAGGGGAAGATCTCCTGCTAGCTGTCACAATGGGGATCGGGGAGTGCAGGACTGGTCTGACCATAACATGTAACATGTTACGAAAGGTGAACCTATCCTTTAATCTCCCTAAGAGGGATCCAGATGGCAAAAGCGACCTTCTTTCCAAAAATAAGACAAAAAAAAAAAAAAAAGCGTCTTGGCTTTTGACACACTTGAATAAATTGCCATGTTATCGATTAACCTGTTATTCAAACTATGATTATTATCTTAGCCTAAGTTGTGAACTGCTGACCTGAACTTTCTGGGAAAGAAAAACGAAAGAACACATAAAAAGGAAAAAAAGAAAAAAAAACACCACATCAGAGAAGGGGTTTTCCAGCAGTAAACAATTCTTTAGAAAACAAAACCACAGAAAGATTTAAAGTCTATGTAAATAAAAACACTAAAATCTCAAGTTTTAACATATTATAAATACAAAAATAATTTTCCTTTTTTAAAAAAAGAAATCTTTTATTAAAATAATTCCTGATGATCTTGCAATAAAAGAATACATTCACATTTTGTAATATGTTACATCCATATTCAGAATGTAAAATGTTACTGTAGCACCAGCCCCCGCATCCCCCCACATGTAACCCCAACTGAGACTACAAGTAGCCATGCCTAGGCATGGTACAAGGTTGTCACCATCAGGAAACCCAAAATGAGAAATTAACATTATGGAAAGGCAAAAAGGATGAAAGATTTTGGAATACTTTGTCTCAAAAATAAAATCATGGTAATTGTTTATAATATGGAGTGCTCTATCAAACTAAATGTCAGTCAAGTAGGGTTTATGCCTACTTTAAAGACTATGCATATACTTTTATTAAAAAGTATCCTGTTCTCTTTGTATTGCTTCCTTTGTGTGAAATCCCTGGTGTTCCTGCCAGTCCCTCTCCTTTCCTATTAAAAACTGACCACACTAAACAGGAGAACACACCATGATCAGTTTTCTAGCTGTGCTGGGAACACAGCTTGTGCTCCTCCAATGATCAGACTTGTCCTGAAACCCCTTCCCCCTGCACAGCCTTTCACTGGGAAGATCAGTGAGCTGCTGTTTCTCCTGCTCTAGCTCTTATGCAGCTAAAAACAGAGGGTAGGTGATTACTTTTAAAAAAGGGGGAAAAAAGTATTGTTTTTTTTTTTTACATCTATACAAATGGTTTTCTTTCATTTCTATCATAAACTGAAAGGGTTGTTTTACAAATAAAGTTTACATATACTTAAGCCTCTTGTCTACCATGGTATGTTTTTTCAACAGCAGATTGGCCCTTTATTTAACCAGTTCTATTCATAAACAGCACTGAATAAACAGCTGTCAGGCAGCTGATCCATCCAGTAATAGCCGTGTACCAAGCTGTCATTAGATGGTCATCACAGCGATCACATGGTAATGTTTACAATGTTGATGCTTCCAACTCCACTTACAACAGGAGAAGACAGAAAGGCAGATCCATTAATTTTGTTTCAGTGACACAGGCATCATTTTTCTGGTAACTGTTTAATGCCACCTTCCTCTGTCTCTATGCGACCTCTATATTAACCCTTTTGCTTCCCTTATTCTGTGCATTAGAACATTACTCCTTCAAGGGGTATTACAGGCTGGTACTCAAGTGGTTAAGCCAGCCTTTCTCAACCTTTTCAATGCAGAGGAACCCTTGACATAACTTTCCGGTCTCAGGGAACCCCTGCTAAAAATGACTTTATCTACAATTCATGATACATTAGTGTGATAGTCAGAGGTAAGAATGCTCCTTACACTTGTGGTCATTGGGAAGAATTACCCCCTTACAGATAGCTACAAAGATCAATGGTGTCAGTGAGAATTTACATGAGAGACAAAAACTGCTCATTGCTCAAGGGACCCCTTGCAACCTCTGGAGGAACCCTGATTGAGAAACCCTGGGTTAAGCTTTTCCTGTAAAAAAACTTTTTTTTTGGGTGGAATTATTACATGCTTGTTTTTAAAGCTACAGTACATTAAATATTTTGACAAGATATCTTATTAGTTGTTTACCGTTTTAGGTCTTATTTCAAGTAGTGAAATTTTTGCTGCATAAACATGACGGAATTTTGCTTAAAAATCATAAGCAGAACATTGCAAAAAACTAGAGGCAGCTCAACATATTCATACAAATGAAAACTTCACCATCTGTTACATTTTAGATAATTGCATAGCTAAAGGCTGGGTTGAACTACTGAGTAAACTAGACAGTTTATACAGTATCTTTGTTTTTACATTATCCAAAGAACATAACTGATGTTATGTATTTATTGGATGAGAAGGCATTAGAGCCTTTGTATTACTATGTTAGCGCGGGAGAAAAGTATATAATCTAAAGTGAAAAATCACTGAAGACCTCCCAGTCTTTGCGATGAAGGGTGAATTTGAGCAGGGGGAAATGAGTGAAGGAATTTTGTTTTAAGTAGTGGGTTTGTGCAGAACTGGAATGTATACAAGGTGCATAGCTGAAAACAACCCCAGTCTGCATTTCACTAGCATCACACATATTCCCTACAGGAACATAACAAGGAAAACTAATGGTGACACATGGGGGAGCTTTTATAAGATTTTAGGGGCAGCAGTCATAACACATTTTTCATAGTTTCCTACATATGGTGCATCAAAACCAGGTTTTCTGTTATTTTTCTAGTGCAGGTTATAAAACTCAAGTTAAGGTCTAATAGATGACCATGGGCACGCTCAGGTGGAATCCCAGGCTCTCACATCCGCATTTTTAACATTTATTATTTTTAAAAGTCCAAGAAAAACCTCTAGAACTGTATTTTCTTTAAGCAACTATCTGAGGTTAAGACTTTGAGTCAAGTATTAAGACAAGACGCAAATGTACATTTATACACTATGGTTTGAACTTCTAGTCTCTATGCACAAATTATACAGTTTAAAAAATAAAGCTGTCTCCCCTTTGAAAAAAGGCCAGAATACAGACAATATTTGCAACAGTATTTAATAGATTTCTTCCAATTTTCAAAGATGGAATAAATGTAGTCAGTGATAGTAGTCCATCATTCCATGTCATGTCAAAAAAAATTCACAAAAGATCCAAAAACATGCTGCGGTATTATCCAAATGATGTCATAACAAATGTGGTCTCTCTTTTAAGCCTCTTTTTTGGCTCCATAAATTTTGATCCAGGGGATCACTGTGACGAGAGTGACTTTTGGGGGTGGGGGGACCCCTGTTGTTCCTCTTAAGTGTAACCCACCCTGTGCCTGTTAGGGGTACAGGGTGGTCTGTCCTGATATTGTGTATTGGTGTGGGGGTTGTTCATTGTTCACTGCCATGTGCTGCATCCCATTGTTCTATGCTTGCCAGCAAACTATTATGGGATGTATGTGTCCCTGTATTGTCTGCTGCTACCTGGTGTATCCCATTGTTCTATTGTGTGTCTTGGTTTGGTGGGGGGGGGGGGGTGTCCTGCACCCCTTCCCCTGATGGGACGGCCTGCTGTGTTTCCTGTTCCTGGTTGTATTTTTTCACCCTGTGTATATATCTTGTGTTTGTGTTAAAATAAAGCAGTTGACTTCCTGTCTTAAGAAGAGTCTGGTGCTGTCTATTTCCTGTTTGGTCAGCGGTGCTGTCCGGGGATTTGTGTTCGGACAGGGAAGCGGGAGTCTAACGGAAATACTCAAGTGCACTCTGTGTCCGGTTCTGTTACAATCACCTTTCTATCACTGTGTTGTAAAGGGCTCCAGGCCATGGCCTTTCAACATCTTTTAAGCCCTTTTGGTCTTAAAAGAACCAGATTTCTTATAGCATTGATTTGTTTACTGATCTGTACCTCCTCCTCTCAGCACCTTTGTAGGTCAGAATGCAGGCTCCATGAACTCTGTGACAAAGCAGTGCCAATTCATAGGGCATTGTGAATAAGTGCAACAAAATTCAAGGAAATAAAATGTGTAAGGATCTTAAAATAAGAGTGGGGTCACACCAGGGCACTGAGGTTTGGGTTCACAGCGATTTATCTGCGTTTGACCACAGTGCACCAGTGGGAGCACGCCATAAGTGTAAATGCTTCAAGATCCTTCAAATTAATAGTAGTAGGCTAGAGATAATTGACATTCAATGTGAATTTGAATATAAGGATTTTACATTTTGACCATAGATATCCTTTAAATACATTTTTCCAGGTTTATTAAGTAAAAAAATAACATCTGAAACCGAGTTCTTTTATTTGCCTTTTATGTGTAGATGTGTTATAAAAAGGAAAAAAAAATATCAGGGAATGACAGATTTAAGACTATACCTCCACTTAATTTTTATAGCCTGCATTAGGAAAATTAATTTGGTTGTTATTGACAACTCATGCACTGTCCTTTCAGATATCAGCCTGAACATGTCTGTGAAATTTGCTTTCAAAACCACTGCACATTTTTTTTTTAAATGGCAATTCCCTATATCAGCATGGTAGGGTTACAATAAAAATCTGTCAAGAGGCACATTTTGAACTTTAGCAAGTCATTTGGGAAGGAATTTTCCAAACATTTTGAAAACAAATCTATATAAACGTTTTAGTGATTCAGCAGTTTAAAATGACAAGGCATTTAGCATCTTTTGTACACCAAGAGATTAATTTCACTAAAGACCACCTGGTGCCTGATCTACAATCTAAGCACTAGAGCTGGAATTTTGCAATACATCAATAAATTATAGAAAATGAATTCTTACTATACTTTTCTGAAATTCTTCTTTCGGGATGAGGTGTTTCACAGCTGGGTAAACAGAATTGTGATTGCAAATGGAAGCTTAAAGCAGACAGAGGGCCGATTCACGGTACATCTACAGCATTAATATGTTTAAAAGACAATTAAAAGACAATTACCTTAACAGCACTGGTGTTATTCTGGGAGCCTCTCACAATAACAGTAGCACCATACACTCTGGACCTCTGCTTGAAAGAAACTGTTATGTTGTAGGTTTGGGAAATGTGCTGGATTGTGGGAGAGTTTGGATCTGGAATTGGCTGTAAAATACCAGCTATGGGCAACTCAAACATCAGAACCAAAGGCAGCAATTCCTGTAGGAAATAAAACATTATAACAGAGTTAAAGTAGAGTTACTCTTTTTGCAGAGACAGAAGTTAGGGAACACCACATAACTTTCACAAATAAAGGATGCAAATACAACATTTTCAAAAATGGTTCAGGGTCCCAAAATGTGGTCACTCTGTTCCAAGCACAGTGCACACACATGAAAGCTGTAAAATAGAATGGACTGTGTTACACACACTCCATGAAAAACATCTTGACACACATCACCTGTCTACAGTATATTCATAAAAGTCATTGGTCCTCTGAGTCAATGCCCCCTGAGATTTCCATACCCCCAAGAATAACCATATACCTCTATTTTGTAAGGCTGAATCAATTCATTACACTTCATTTCTCTTTTTCAAGCAAAGTGGAACACTGGGGAAAATAAAGAAGGGAGGAGCCACTGCCTTAACATTGCAAGGTTTTGTATTTACCTTTCTGCAGAAAATCTTCCCAGTAATCTTCTGTCTTACTCTGTCAGACAAGTCAAAACGAATAAAAATGTAGTAACAGAACATCTAAAGAGTTCAATTGGGCAATGACACCTAGATACAGAAGATCCAAGACGGCTTGAATAAGAGCTGCGTTCTGACACAGAAAGAGGATGTGGCATGTGCAAAGAAGCTCTTGAACCCCCTTTTCTGAACACAAGCATCAAGACGTGTATGCAACCTGCGAAGGTTAATAAGTAATCAAATAAATAAGTGTATAACCACCTCCACCCCAAAATTTCCAAAAAGTCACACTTTCTCCCCAGAAAGCAATTCAATATTATAAACCTTTTTGTGATAGAATTACAAAAACATATTAATATTCAAATTACATAATGATAAATACTCAAAAACCAAAAAAAGTCCAATAAAAAAGTGTCCCAATAAAAAACAGTAATGTCCAAAAAATAAGTCCCAAATATTCAAACTTTATCATCCAGTAGGAAGAAATCCTATTTCATCCCGTGGTACCTCAAAAAAAAACAAAATTGAATAATCTAGTGCATTACCTTTGTAAACAATATATATTCACTCAGTGCAAAAAAAAAAAACACAAAAAACACAAAAACTGTGCAAAAAACTATATATATATATATATATATATATATATATATATATATATATATATATATATATATATATATCTCGTGCACATATGGATTAACTGTGACCACTCCGTGAACACTGCAACACTGTGTATCCACCGACACCAATAGTATTACATACTATTACCCTCTGTATCAATATAACCAGCATCCAGTCAGAGATCTTCTATTTCCTCTCCAAAGAAATTTTTCCAAGGTCCTCAAAAGACAAGAAGGGTCTCAAGGCTCATATTCAAGGTATATATAAAAGGTTTTAATAGCCACTTACATTAAAATTCCACATATCCAGCTCCCAACATGGTTCCTATGCAAGTTCTGCCAAACAAATGCAGTAAGCCATGTGAAAACAACCCACAAAATGGCCGCGGCGACACTTCCGGTCTGCGTGCGTGCGTATCGACGTCACACCCTTTAAGGGTGTGACGTCGATACGCACGCACGCAGACCGGAAGTGTCGCCGCGGCCATTTTGTGGGTTGTTTTCACATGGCTTACTGCATTTGTTTGGCAGAACTTGCATAGGAACCATGTTGGGAGCTGGATATGTGGAATTTTAATGTAAGTGGCTATTAAAACCTTTTATATATACCTTGAATATGAGCCTTGAGACCCTTCTTGTCTTTTGAGGACCTTGGAAAAATTTCTTTGGAGAGGAAATAGAAGATCTCTGACTGGATGCTGGTTATATTGATACAGAGGGTAATAGTATGTAATACTATTGGTGTCGGTGGATACACAGTGTTGCAGTGTTCACGGAGTGGTCACAGTTAATCCATATGTGCACGAGATATATATATATATATAGTTTTTGCACAGTTTTTGTGTTTTTTGTGTTTTTTTTTTTTTGCACTGAGTGAATATATATTGTTTACAAAGGTAATGCACTAGATTATTCAATTTTGTTTTTTTTGAGGTACCACGGGATGAAATAGGATTTCTTCCTACTGGATGATAAAGTTTGAATATTTGGGACTTATTTTTTGGACATTACTGTTTTTTATTGGGACACTTTTTTATTGGACTTTTTTTGGTTTTTGAGTATTTATCATTATGTAATTTGAATATTAATATGTTTTTGTAATTCTATCACAAAAAGGTTATAATAGTTAATAAGTAATCCCCCACCCTTGAAAGTGGGGGCATACTTTCATGCAGAGGACAGTTGGTCTGAGAATTTTAAAATGTGCCAAGACTTGTGGGTGGACAGGGAACATTGGAGGGTCTTGACAAGAACAATGATGGAGTAAATGAAAGAACATTTCCCAACAATCAGAGAATGGGACAATTGTTGGTCTGCAGCATAATCCTTTTCCTTGAGAAAAAAAAAGTGCTTTTACTACAAGTAGCATCCTAGATAAATAGTATTTCATATCAATCCAAAGAGATGCTGTCCCTCAAAGATCATGCAGAAAAAAATGCTTCTTATACAAGAATTCCACAGTCCAGCACCTTAACCAAGGTGTCTACACATGTGTGCTGACATGAGATCCATGTGACAGAAGAACTGGAAAAGCTACAGCAATTTGTCCATGCATACTATATAGATTGAGATTGATCACAGCAGTGGAGAGCTCTCATAAAATAGAATTTGACCAATTAGGCATGATTTAGTATGGTACGGGAGAATGTGGTGTTTCAAAATGTTTTTCTATGAAGTCATAGAATAAAGGAAAGACTTTGTGATAAGCTTTGGTGTGAAACAGTAAAGGCAAGCAAACTGTGGATTCCTCCAATGCAAAGGTAGAACAAAACAACCTCTGATTTAGGGGTAATATGAAAAAGACAGGGAAACAACATTTGATAACGGAGTTGCAGAGGGATACCAACTGACTCAGAGAAGTCTAGTATGTCTGTGTTTAATTTAGCAGAGCAAGGGGAAAAACACTGGTGCACAATGGATCAGAAGTGGTCCCCAACAGAACCACTCCATAAGAAACTGCAGTTGATTGAAGATTCCCTGATATGTGGAGGGCTGCACCTGAGGAGACATTACAAACTATAGCATCTTTGGAAGTACCTGGGATGAGTGCTGGAGATTGAGGATTGAGTAGGATACCCCCATAAGAAACCCTCTACACACAAGAGACAAGTGGGATTAAGTCCTGTGGGTAATTTGCATATGCAAGGGCACCCTCAATACTTGCCAGGGAAAGTAGTGAATGGATCCTTCCAGCTGTAACAGCAGTGTTGTGATTATTGATACTTATTGGGTGTTCATGTGTGTTGGAGTAATATAAAGACTTTAAACTGCTGTGCGCTGGTGCCTCCCAGTCCTTTAATGGATTTTAGATGCTGGAAGGAGGGGCATGGTTGGTGATCATGTGACCTTCGTGATTGGCGGTCACATGATTGAAAATTTCCACATTACAAGAAGAGATCGGGAGCTTTCCGTTAGTCTCCGGTAACTGTGTCAGGAGTGCACACTCTCACCAAAGTTCTGTTTTTTTTTGGGGTGCACATATATGGGTCCCATCGGCTTGAAGGCCCACCTGCTGAGAGGCCACATCCATCAATGCGGCCAGCGGGGAGGAGTTAACCAATGTTCATCTGATGTTAACATCAGTCACACCAAAGTCCAACATTAATATTCAAATTAGTAACGCTGGTCTATATGAAGAAAATTAACAGGAAGAAAGAGTTGGGTACAAATGTAGACAGAGGCAAAAATTAGCTAGACAACTTAGTGTTGACAAGCTTTCGGATTAAGTGTTGAGTGGTTAGATAAGGATAGGTTGTAATGCGAAATTACTCACATCACAGTCTATTAAATAAATATTTTTGAGTACACTTTTCAAATGGAAGTAAAAAATTATTGATTCAAAAGATAACAGAATAGACAAGCAGAGGATGCATTCAAAGGCCACCAAACCCTTGCCAATATTTACCCTTATTCTTATACTAATCAGCCCTAAATTCTCATCCATTTTTCTGCTTATCAGTTCTGATTTTTTACTATTAATAATTTAAGATTTTCATTTGATTTTCTCAGCATTGCATAACAAATTGTGCTAAATTGAAAAACTTTGCTATGATTGCTACCAGAAACATCATGTTCGATTCCATTTAAAATTAAACTATAACAGAAAATAAATTTAAAGCAGATTAAAGCAGATCCACTTCTGTGGATCACAGGAGTGCAGTTTGTTCTGCACTCCTGTGACCTGTTTTCAGCTGACTGAAGTCTGCTGTTGGCTGACGTCACTCAGCTGGCCCAGGCTGGGCAAAGATCCCGACTTTAAAGTATGAATCCACCCCAGTGTCTGGAGCGGCACCTGGCTCAGCCTCTCAGCGAAGTGCTTAGAGCCTGAGCCAGCCGCTCCATCCCCTGCACAGCCCAGTGCTCCAGCGAGTGCTGGGGGGGGGGGGGGCAGAGCAGAGAGTGGTCACTGACAGTCACCGCTCTCTGCTCAAAGTGGCTGTGAGTATTCAGCGATCAGTGTTCATGTGATCACTGAGTCCTCACACTTGGAGCCGGCGGAGGACAGATGCAGCATGAGACCGATGCTGCATCCACCTAGGTAAGTATAAATGGGGGGGAAGCCCTACTTCTCCTAACTTTTTATTTACAGTAAAAATATTTTATTCAAACACGAATACTCAAAATCAATTAAAAAAATGCAATCTTTTTTGTCTATGTCACATTAAAAATAAAATAATTTTAGCAAGATAATATCGCCAGAGGAAAGCCTTGTTTGTCCCCAAAAGAGTGTATATATCACCTTAAGCCAGTGTTTTTCAACCTTTTTTCAGCCAAGTCACCCTTTAAAGTCCAATACAATTTCGAGGCACCCCATTCTAAAAGTTAAAAAATAAACCAATAGTTTTACATGCACCGGCATATACACATGAAGGACACCCAAAGTTATAGGTGATTTGTTCAGACAAAGCAAATACACCAGTATACCAGTACTGACTAGTATTCCAGCATTTATATTCTCTCTCAGTTTCTCTCCCTCACTCAGCTAAGGTGACCCCAGTGCTGAGACAGGGAGGAGAGACAGGGAAGGAGCAAATGAGGATGCAGGTGCCTAACACCCTTCTTATCAACCAATGACATTATCGGTTGTATGGATGCCAGAGGCTGGTCCGCATGGTGCTCAAGGTTGTAATGCTGCACAATGAAAAACTGTGGCTTTGTGAAAAGAAAAGGCAGGTTTGATCCACTTGCTGGCCTTGCTGACAATTTTTGGGCAATTTTAAGGTATTTTGCCAAAGCACCCCTAAAGAACCCAGAAGGCACCCTGGTTGAAAAAGGCTGCCTAGTGGAAATGTAAACATTGCTCTGGTCCATAAAGGTTATAAAGAACACAAGAGCTGAAGCAGTTAATCAGAGATGTGACAGTGTGTTTTCCACCATCATCATCTCGTTCCATAATCCCCAGAATTTGACTTGGTTCCAGCTCAATGCAAAATGTATTTTTTATAGTTGATAGTATAGAAAAGTGCCCTCTGCTTGTGACATTTTGCTGGCTAGGAGCAAGGTAAAATTCTTTCTAAAAATCAGCAAAAAATATAATTCACAACCAAAAGGCGTATGCCCTCCTTCATGGTGTAAGTAGTAATTTTCCTCTTTTCCAATTTTTTTTTAACGGTTGACTGAATGGCTTGTGTGGTGTGAAAGATGTGTCCAAGGAATTTCATATGCAACATAAATGCCAGATCTAAAACAAATAATCTTTCAGTGCTTCTGCTTGTTGTGTGTACTTTAGCATTCATCACACGATCAGTAATAAATGATAAATGGAAGAGCTGCTTGAAGAAAGGTGGTTTAGTCTGGGCTATAAAATCATAAAATGTCTAAAATGTTGATGAGTTAAAAACCACAAAGCAATGAAGGAAGTATGAAATATGTCACTGAAACATCCAAACCATTTTCACGGGAGCTTTTCCAAAACAGCACAATGGTATTCATCCAGCCAAAAAAAACCAGCAGCCCAATCAGACATTACAGAGCACTGGTACTCGGAAACTAGCCTAAATCTTGGCTTGGTGGAATTTAATAAGTACTGTAAATCTCAGAAATAACAAAGTGTAATTTATCTAAAACTTAAAGAATCAGGGCCAATACTAATCATTTACTTTTTAGTGGAGAGTGATTATAATACCATATGTGCAGATTTAGAACTACAGAATATTACTGCAAATATCTACTATTGATATCCAGTTTTTATGCTCATCAACAGAACTTTACATATTGTGCAATACCTAGGATAATATTCTGGCATTGTAGGTGGTAAAAACAGTTGAAATAAAATGAAGAATTATCAATGTAGGATGAAAGCTCAGCATTATGTGCTGAAAAACGTTTGGCAGATATCCCAGTTTATTGTCAGGATATAAACCTGGCTTTATTATATGGATCCTACTGGCTGTAACAGCAGTGTTGTGATTATGGATACTTATTGAGTGTTCATGTGTGTTGGAGTAATATAAAGACCTTAAACAGCTGTGCGCTGGCTCCTCCCAGTCCTCTAATGGATTTTAGATGCTGGAAGGCGGGGCATGGTTTGTGATCATGTGACCTGCATGATTGGCTGTCACAGCGGTCACATGATTAGAAATCTCCACATTGCAAGCAGAGATCGGAAGCTTTCCGTTAGTTTCCGATAACTGTGTCAGTAGTGTGCACTCACACCAAAGTTCTGTTTTTTTTGGGGTGCACATATATGGGGCCCCTCGGCTTGAAGGCCCACCTGCTGAGAGGCCACATCCATGAATGCGGCCAGCGGGAAGGAGTTAACCAATGTTCATCTGATGTTAACACCAGTCACACCAAAGTCCAACATTAAATGTTCCAATTAGTAACGCTCGTCTAATTGAAGAAAATTAACAGGAAGAAAGAGTTGGGTACAAATGTAGACAGAGGCGAAAATTAGCTAGAAAACTTAGTGTTGACAAGCTTTCAGATTAAGTGTTGAGTGGTTAGATAAGGATAGGATGTAATGCAAAATTACTCACATCACAGTCTATTAAATTAATGTTTTTGAGTACACTTTTCAAATGGAAGTAAAAAATTATTTCAAAAGATAAACAGAATAGACACCAAACCCTTGCCAATATTTACCCTTATTCTTACTCTTGCAGATTCTACCCCCGCAGGTTGTCCGGCAATTGATACCTATAAATAAATTTTAAAAATCCATCATTATTATCACACTTTCAACATGTAAATTCAGCACACAAGCACAACATATATTTTACAATATTTTTTCCTATACAGTATATAAAAATGGTGTCAAAAAGTTACATTGAGCTTTATTGTTCTACTATTCAATGACAAAATATGTTAATCATAATATAAAACCTAACATGAAATAGTAAACTCTACCAAGAAATAAGACACCTTACTTTTCCAGCTAGCTTTTAACGAGGAGAGCTGATTCACACATGTGCAATGTGGATTAAAGCTCAGGTTTCACAGCTAATTGATACAGTAGTTGTTCACCGGTTCATGCCAGGTTTACATCAGGGTCGGGCCAAGATTAGTTCTCAGGCTCATTCTGCTCACACATATGTGGTTTAGAAACTGTTCCCATAGAACTCAAAAGCCTGCAATCCGTACCTGAACCGGACTGCACTGCTCAGAAATCGTACTGACTCTTTCAAACCACACTTTATTCGCACCACCAGTGCACTGGACATATGTAAACTGGCAACATAGGAAGCATTGTTTTTTCACATGCGGTTCAAACCACATCCCAATCCGTATATATGTGAACCAGCATGGAGGGGGCATTGGGTTGAGACAGGCATTGAGTGTTCAAAATCATCTTTGCCACAGGTGTAAGCAAAAGACACAAGAATTCAAAATTAATTAATGAGAATATCTAGAGAAATAAATAGCCAATCACTGATTTTTCATTGTGTCTAGTACCGCAAAGATGTGTGGGTAGTAGACTTTTAGGTTCCCATCTTACACTTGGGCAATTCAGTGAATGAAATGATATTGCTGCAGTTGGTTCGCAGACCTGGGAGCTTAAAACACACCTACTAAAAAAATAAGTACAGGGGCTGAGATTACTGGCCTCTTTCTGAAAATGCTAGGTCCCCGTCTGTATCTTCAATACACTTCAGTCAGAGTCCTTGAGCAATAATGTTGTAAACTCATTTAAGAAAAAAAGCATAATTCTTATATTCACATTTTTTCTCTGTCAGTGATTCAGAAGGGACAAACTTGAATTTTTTTCTCGTATGAGAATAGAAGGAACAATATTTGTTTAATCAGTAGAATATTCGCTCGAAAAAATGTGAGTGACCAAGACCGTACAAGCATGGAAACAAAAGAATACATTACATCATTGCAGGAAGCTCTATTCTATCTTATAGGAAGTATTTAATAACCTATTCGTTTGTGATAGGAGACTAAAAGGTAAAAAAAAAAGCACAATTATTTGTCTAATATTCTAATCGTGTGTACGAGGCTTAAGAAAAAATATACACTAGTTACACACCTCACTTATATCTTAACTCTGAATCCAAGGATTTTAGTGCTCCATGTATGCATATTTATATAGTCTCCAGCACATTGCAGGTTTTCCATACATCTAGAATGTGCGTATGTTTGCCAAAAGTGTGAATCAAATTAACAAATATAGAGGTAAACATTTTATGTTCTTAAAGCAAACCTAATGTATACTCAAATGTAAAGCATATAGCAAAGGTAACCTATCTGGCCAATCTCAGTAAAGAAAGGACCTAAATAAAATGGCTGAAATATCTGTCATGGAGAAAATATGTTTGAGTTGAATTTATTGCTGGCCAAGTGTTTAAAGGCCTCGGCACTTGGTCACGTGATCTCTGGTGAAGTGGAATTCAGCAGAGATCATGTAACCATGTGCATAGGCAATCAGACATGCAGGCAGTACTGCAGAATGTCTAGAGCAACATGTTTGCAGGAAAGGCATTTCAGTCCCTGAATGACTGCTGACATAACTTTATGTGAACATTCAAGTACAGGTCACCTTTAATAGAATTTAATTCTTTATGGAAACCGGGAAGCTATTCTGCTATGTGCCCAAAACATCCTGTCCTGCAACTATATTTCTGTGCTACATTCAGGCTTTTCCTCTCTTGCAATGGCTGATCCCATAAAACAGCAAGTTGAAGTCAGAGGTCAAAAGCAACAAGGAATATGTCAAATTCTCCCAAGATGTTGTACTGTGACTAGGTGTGACTTTAACCTTTTTTTTTTTGTTTTGTTTAGGACCACATACTGCCCTCAAAGACCTCCACTCTCAGCAAGCCTCACTGAGGAAGCTGAGAGGCTCAGAGAGGCACAATGACAGATATATGTATGGACAGCTGAAAGAACTAGAGGAGCTGATCGGTACAGAAGAGAGGCTCGGTTCTGGTGGGAGAGCATTGCCTCAAGGAACATCCTGAAGCTCTCCCACTACTCTGCTACTTGGCCAAGTTCTTCCTGTGTTCACGCCTTCACTGCAAGCTCCAGCAGCCGTTCACCTATTCTTCTCTCCAGGTCAGGATCTGCAGAAATACCCACTGTCCAAATCTCAGGCTCTCCCCTTCCAGTGACAGTGCTTTTCAGAGGGCATTTGACAGGCAGCGAGAAGGTGTTACTGTATATCGCCTCCTCACCACCTGATATAACCCTAAAATGCTGCACTACCATGCCACAATCATGTGCATTGCACGCAGTTGCAGCACGGAGCTATTGAGTTAAATCAGCAAGTTTGTGTTACTGAACAAGTTAAAAATGCCATGGACGCAGCATAGGAATAGCTGCATCCAACTGTTAATTTACAGTTCGGGTGGATGGCCAGGGTTGGTAAAACCACAGCTCAGCTGACTATTTTTACTACCCCTCAACCGCCCATCTAAAAGAGACCTATTTCATGAACAGTTGTACGTATTATTTCTAGTGCCAGGTGTTTGTTTTCTTTGTGTTTACATACTTGCAGACCTTCTCGGATCCAAAATTATTGCTGAGCAGAATTAAGTCCTGCCCTCCACAACAGTCCAAGTTTTTCATGTGTCCCCTTGGGAACTCAATTGCCCACCCCTGCTGTAAAGTGTGTACTGAACTGAATCCAAACCACTGAGTGTGATTCCTCTCCTCTCTCTGCACTAGTCATTGGAAAGACTTTAGGCCAACATAGAAACAGTTCACCCCTACTCCAGCACACAGGAGGTGACTCAGCCTTAGCCGTGTATGTATGTATGTTCGAGGGGGTGTGTCCCTTCCCTCCAGCTCAGCTATCAGAGAACTCTGTGCTATAGCTCTGCAGTGTGTGTCAGGCCAGATCCTTACCCCCTGCTTTCTAGCGCTCAGAGATGCTGTGTAATATGTGTTTTAGTAGACTGTAGAGAAGAGAGAGCTACAGATAAACGGGTGCAACTTATATAGAAGGATTTGTTTCATTGTTGTGTATTACCTAAGGCTAGTCACGCTACTGGGTATATGTAAGGGTTTACAACCACTTTTTCTGACATTTTTTAATTAATCAAAAAGGTTCACAGATAGCCAATAAGGATACAAAAAAAGGCATAAGCTGTCACAGAGCAGACAAAATCTCGTACAAAAAAAATACTGGGGTATATCCTATGTATCAAATGTTTATGTGTACAGATCTTACATGAAAAAATAATATCAACTATAGCCACTTTAAAGTATAACTAAAGGCAAAACTTTTTGTTTTTTGACAGAGTGGAGAGGGATTAGAATGCTTGTGAGATTTTTTGGGCCGTCTATCCCCATTAGGGAGATTTAGCCTATTTGTCCTGTGTACCATTATCATTGAAAGAAAGCATAAGAAAATCGCTAATTTTAGGTTTTCCCCAGAAAAGTAATAGAAGGGATTTATTCCAATGGGGACACTAGTTCTGGTGACCTGGGGGTCCCCTTAATTTGCAATGATTCCCTCTCACTTCTTGTTTGGCTATGGGACAGGAAGCGGAGGGAGATCTCTGCAATGGGACACAGATGGCGAAAAAAATCTGACAAGGGTTACAACCCTCCCTTTCTCTATCCAAAATGAAACAAAATGCAAAAAACTTTTATCTATAGTTCTACTTTAAGGTCTTCTGTATATGTGTGCTGGGATGCCATTCAGAAAGAATAACAATGATTCACAACACACATATGCTGTGTGTTAACGCCTATTGAAGTAACACATCATTACAGGTTTAGTGCACATTACCATAATGCAAAGGTGTGCTTCCATCCTAAAACTTTCAACGCTCAGGGAGGAGAGAAATGCTTGAACTGCCACTGCTGGCTTATTTTTAAAATAAGTGACAATATATCACAATCTGCTTGACATGCATGGAATTAAAAGATCTCATCGTCCTATTACAATTTTTCATCCTTAAGTTGCTATTTCCAATATAAGGAATGTATCTGATAACAATCTTCATGTTATTTTCAATTTTATCTGTTACAGAGCTGCTGAGCCTCCACTGCATTTGCATCTTAAACAATGTGCATTCCAATAACTATTGTAATACATCAAAGTATTTTCTCTGGATACCTAGTAAAGTGTCTTACTGTATGTTCTATGTTTGCTCTAGAAATAAATAAAAAGATCTCATCGTTCACATATTCGATCAACTGCATATAGCATTCCACTTATTTATGGCGGGTAATTATTTCATCTAGAATATATCCTATGGACAAATGTCCAGTCTGGAAAGTGTTACTAAACCAAGGACCCTGCATTCACTCTATCTGGTCTCCCACAGTACACAGAACATGGAATGCAATTATTTATATAAATTGCTAAATTCCTTTTATCATTAGTAGTTAGAGCAGTCTTGTGACTTCTGTCAGTGTCCAGCCGAGCACTGGTTAAAGCTTGTAGGAGGAGTTTTCATTTTGCTCTAGGAGGATGCAGAACCCCTGACCTCTGTCTGGACAGTGCTAAAGAGATGGTGTAGCGCTTAATAACAGATAAATATACAATGCAAAAGGCATATATATGAAAATAGGTGATACTATGTGCTCTAAAACAACTAAGGTCACAGCAGACCTAGTAAGCGACTAGCATATAGTGATTCCAATCCCATTGGGGGATTAATAAATATGTGACCCTTTGTCCCCACAAATGGGACTCAACCTAAAAAAGCGTGAATCCCTGTAGAGGGATAGGTGCTCATCATATG